GGTGGTCTGGTAGGTAGTCAGGGGAGGGAGCGTTCGGGACGGGGGGGGGCGGTGCCGTGCTGAAGTGCAGGGGTCGGGGCGGAGGGGGTGCGCTGGCTGGCGGGCGGGGGGCGCGGTGGTGGGGGGGGTGGGGGTTGGTGCCGCGTTGGCCTGTGGGCGGGGGGTGCAGAGAGGGCGCGGGCCGGAGGGGGCGCGCCGGCTGGTGGCTGGGAGGATGCGGATGGCCAGTAGTGACAGATCAGGGCGAGAAGGTGCCGCGCCGAAATCAAGGGGTCGGGGCGGGGTGTGCGCGCTGGCAGTGGGTGGGGGGCGCGGAAGAGGCGCGCGGGGTGGGGGGGGCGGTGCCGCGCCGAAATAAAAGATGGGGGCGGTTTTTGGGCTGGGCAGTCACAAACCACGGTGTTGTTTGTTCCCTCTGTATGGTTTCGGGAGTTCAGAAAGAGGCGCTGGGGGGAGGCCGCGGCGAGGATGGGTTCCGAATCCCCCCCCCAAAAAAACAAAAAGCTGAACATACACACTGCTTCGTTGCTTAATAACCCCAAGCGCCAACCAAAACAAACACACACTCCTTTTGGAGCGTTCTGTGGCACGAAACGCTGTGTATGCTGTTTTTTTGTATGTGAGCGTGTTGCATGCGAAGCCACAGAACATTGTGTATGTGTTTGGTTTCGGAGGCTCAGTTGGGGGCGCTGGGGAGAGGCAGCGGCGAACACTGGAACCTCGGAAACCCGAAACGCCAACCCAACCAAATGTACATTGTTCATCGTGGCTTCACAGACCCAACAAACAACACACACACACACACCAAGCATACACTGCATACACTGTGTTTGGCGCCCTCCTTGCCACGAGGCTGTGTGCGTTGTTGTTTGTTTTTTGTTTACGACGCCCCGAAACATGATGTAGTTTTTGGTGTGTGTGTGGGGTGGTCACAGGCTCAGAGGTGGGTGGGGGGGGGGCGCGGCGATCACTGGAGCACCCGGATCAAACAACTGACCAAACAAGCATACACATTGTTTTTGTGGCCTCACACACCCAGGGTTTGGCGCAGTCCTTGCCGCGAACGTTCTTGGTGTGCTTATTTTTGGTTTGTTATTGTTATTATTATCATGTACGTCCACACATATGCTTGTATTCAGATCTAGATATGTATACGTATACGTATTTGTGTATGTTATATATATGTATATGTATGTGTATATGCATGTGTATGTGTGTATGTATATGTATATGTTTATGTATGTGTATGTGTATATGTATATGTATATGTACATGTATGTGTATATGTGGTTGTATTGGTTTATACATATATATATTTGTATTTGTATACGTATATGTATATGTACAGGCATATGTATATGTATAGATATATGTGTAGGTATATGTATATGTGTGTGTAATGTATAGGTGCATGTATGTGTATATGTATATGTTTAGATATGTTCACATGCACCTGTATAAGCGTATGTAGGTGTATGCGTATGTGTATGTGTATGGGTATGTGTGCATATGCATGTGTATCTGTTTATGTATAGGTACATGTATACGTATATGTATTTGATATGTGTTTATGTATATATATACATGTATATGTATATGTATATGTATACGTATATGTATACGTATATGTATATGTATATGTATATGTATATGTATATGTTTATGTATATGTTTATGCATCTGCATATGCAGATGTATATGTTTTGTATAAGTTTATGCAAATGCATATGTATGTATAAATATGTGTGGTTATGTATATGTGAAGGTGTCTGTATATGTATATGTATATGTATATGTGTATGTATATGTATATTTACTTGTATACGTATATGTATATGTATATGTATATGTATATGTACCAGTATGTGTATGCTTATGTGTATCTGTATATGTTTATGTACACGTATATGTATACGTATATGTATATGTATATGTAGATGCATATATATATATATATATATATATACACTGATTCAAGTTGGATGGGTGGGAACCCCTCCCCGCCTCCCACAACGACCCTCCCGAATCCGTTGGCCCCGGGGCGCCTTGGGCGCCCCTGCAGAACGTTCCCCGGCTTGCCTGGGCTCCTGGACGCCCCTGCTGGGCCTAGGCAACGGGCTCAGATCGGTCAAGAGGGCGGCCGATCGGCCCCGGGAGAGAGCCCCAAGAAGCTCCAGACACCAAATAAACGCCCCTGGACGACCCAAGGGAAACCCCCAAGAGAGAAAGACAACAAAAAATATATAATTCCAATAGTTTTCGTATGATTTTAGGGATGCTCTGCTCTTCGGTTTTCCGGGCACCCGAGCCCATCCAGGAGGCCAGAACAAATCGCCCGAGAATTTGCCAATAGAGCTTCCAGGCAGTCCAAGACTGCCCCATGACGGCCCAACAAGGCCCCAACATGGCCCGAAGAGAGCCCCATGACGGTCCAAGATGGCCCCAAGACGCCCCCCGAAGCATTCCAAATCGTGACCCGGTCGTTCAGGGAAGCCGTGTTTGGAAGTAGGGTGGCCCGAGGAAGGCCCCAAAAAGAAACCCAAGAGGCCCATAAGAGGTTCTCCAAGGAGGAACCTCCGCAAAAATAGTTGAGGATCGGGACGAATTCGCAGGGCAGGGCGGTAATGAGGAAGAGGAAACATGAGGGAAGGATCATCTACAATATCATTCTAACGACGATGACGGAAAAAGGCAATAAGGAAGTATTTTTCAATTTTCTTTTTCACCGCCTTGCCCTTCCGCTTGCATGCCAAACATCAAGGGCCAAGGTGCACGGCGCGAAGCGCAATGCAGTCTTGTGTGTATTGTTGTGTGTATGTATGTATGTATGTATGTATGTATGTATGTATGTATATATGTATGTATATATATACATATATACACGAGTGTTTCCCAACTTTGTTAAATATTCAGTTTTCTTTTCTGCTGTGAAGCCACAAAACACTGTGTGTTTTTTTTTGTTGGGGGGTGTTTTCGGCAGCTCAGAGAGAGGCGCTGGGGGGAGGCCGCGGCGAGCGGAAACAAAATCCAGACAAACGCTAAGCACACATTGCTTCGTGTCGGGAAAACACAGAGAGAAACAACTACAAGCATGCACAGTGTTTGGCGCCTTCTGTGCCACGACACGCGTTTTTTTGTATGTGGTTCTTGTGGTATGGGAAGCAACGAAACACGGGGTATACTTGTTGTTGTTGTTGTTGTTGTTGTTGTTGTTGTTGTTGTTGTTGTTGTTGTTTGTGTGTGTGTGTTTGTGCGTTTTGGGTTTGGGCAGCAACGAAACACTGTGCATTTGTTTTTGGTTTCGGAGGCTCAGGGAGAGGCGCTGGGGGGAAACCGCAGCGAGCATAGGAGCCGTTGAAATCAAACCAAACTAAGCAAAACAACCACGCATACGCAGCGTTTCGTGACTTCACAAGCCCAAGCAACGAAACAAACCTAACATACAAACTGTTTGGTGCCCGCTGTGCCTTGTTGTTTGTTTTCTCTTGGGAAGCAACGAGCATCCCGAAGCTCAGGGGGAGGAGCTGAGGGGGAGGCCGCGGCGAGCGCTGGAGTCGCCGAAACCAGAGAAAACAACACATCAAGCACACGCAGTGTTTCGTGGCTTCACAAACCAAAAACAAAAACCGAACAAGCCAAGCATACCCAGCGTGTGGCGCCACTGGCCGACACCGACATGCCTGCGTGCACGGTGCCCGTGACGGGTGGGCCTAGCGGGTGAGCTCGTCGGCCTGGACCATAGGCAAGTGAGTGCGTAGTGGAACAACCCGCAGTTTCTCGGCGGAGCGGGCCTGCGGCTGTGTAAAATGACCGGTTCAGCGGGTTCGTAGTTTGGGCGTTTTGGGGGGTCACCAGGGGGGTGGCCAGACACACATGTATATATGTATGTATAAATAGGTGTATACTTATAGACACGTGCGTCTGTACGTCCGTACGTACGTGCGTGCGTGCGTGCGTCTGTCTGTCTGTCGCATGCATGCATGCATGCATGCATGTATGTATGTAGGTTTGTATGCTTGTATGTATGTATGCATGCATGCATGCATGCATGTATGTATACATGCATATGTGTATGTATGTATGTATGTATGTATGTATGTATGTATGCATGTATGTATGTATGTATGTATGTATGTATGTATGTATGTATGTATGTATGTATGTATGTGTATGCATGCATGCATGCATGCATGCATGCATGCATGTATGTATGTATGTATGTATGTATGTATGTATGTATGTGAATGTATGTATGTGTGTATGTGTATGTATGTATGTATGTATGTATGTATGCATGTATGTACATATGTATGTATGTATGTATGTATGTATGTATGTATGTATGTATGTATGTATGTATGTATGTATGTATGTATGTATGTATGTATATATGTATGTCTGTATGCATGTATGCATGCATACATTCCTGTATGTATACATGTGTATATGTATGTATGTATGCATGCATGCATGCATGTATGTATGTGTGCATGCATGTATGTATGTATGTATGCATGTCTTTATTCCCTACCTAGGCTCTGCCTAGAAGGGTTCTTACCCTGTATGCTTAAAGGGCCGGGCAGAGCTCCCCGCCCCGGGCGGTTCCCCCGGGATCCGCCCCGCGGTTCCACCAGTCCCCTGGGAGTTTTAGCTTTAGCTTAGCTCTAGCTTAGCTTTAGCTTAGCTCTAGCTTAGCTTTAGCTTAGCTTTAGCTTAGCTTCAGCTTAGCTTTAGCTTAGCTTTAGCTTGGCTTTAGCTTAACTTTAGCGCAGCTTTACTGTTACTACTAATGCTGCTTTCCTAGGGGCTCCAACTCCAAGGTAGGGTCGCACTGGGATAATATACGTTTACATGTCTCTCTCTCTATATATGTATCTTTTTATATGTGTGTATATATATATATACATATAACGCGTATCGCCACATCCAGCGCCCCCCGGGGTCCCAGGACATCGGTCCCCCAGGCGGTGCGTGCGGATAAGCCCCCGTCCCGCAAAGAGGAACATCGTGAAGTTCCTCGAGCTCACCGCCGCGGAGGAGCGCGCCGCGCGGGCGGCGGCCGGCGCCGTGCCTGGCCTCCCGCCCGGGCTGCTGACCGTGAACCCGAGCGCCTTCCGCCTCGAGTACGACGTGGACAACATCTGCAGCTACCTGGAGGGCGCGGCGGCCCTGAGGTCGGAGGGCGCCTCCTCCTCCTCCTCCTCCTCCTCCTCCTCCTCCTCAGGCTATACGTAAGAGTGACCTTTCGCCGGAGCGGCCTTCGGTGCGGGCGCATTGGGGCCCCCAGATGACGGAAGCGATGCGATGGCAGCGGCTTGCGCGCTCCGATTCGGCCTCCCCGCGGCCTTCCCGCGGCCTCCCCGCGGCCCTGAGGTCGGAGGGCGCTGTGCGGCGGCGGTGGTGGCGTTCGTGTAGGAATACGCCCAAGGGGTTTCAGACCGTGGTGGGTCCCTTATCCGAAAAGCGCGGAGGTGATGTCCATGCCACGAGCGAAGTTCCGCTGGCTTCGAGACCCTGGATTCCTTATCCATTGGTCCCCTATCCAAGGCCCCCACCGTACCTACGAGGAGGAGAAGGTGCCGGCGCCGCTGCTCGTCCTGGGGATCTCGTCGTCGCCACGGCCGGATTTTAAATCCGGCCGTAGCGACGGGCCTCCGTTACGACGACACAGACGTTTCGCGAGCACCCGCGCCAGGTGCGAAAGTTCAGAACTTCTCATAATCATCCAGACTTCTTCCAGAACTTACCAGACTGCGTCAGAATTGCTCAGAACAGCTCGGCCCGTCCAAGAACCCCCCTGGGTGCACCCCCGAGAAAATTCGAATGAATGTTGCGCGGGATGTTGGTCAGAGCGCGCCCTGGGAGAGGTCTGGGAGTGGCGGTATGACTTTTCCTCACTATGTGGAGCCTGCTGGGGATCTCGTGTCGCCACGGCCAGGCGCTGTTCGAAAAACTGATCCGTTTCGACCCCTCATGAGTTTGCTGTCATCCCCCCTCTTGACTGATCTTCTCCGGCCTTATCCAGCTCAGACCTCCCAGCCGCCTCTAACGCTATGTACGCCAGTACTGTGGCTTCGTGTCGTGTCGACGAGGCGGCGACCTCAGCGTGGGAGTTCAAGGTTGAACACCGCTGGTGGCCGGGAATCGGCCGACATCGAGCGGTCCGCACTGTCGGATAGCCGCGGTCGTTCAAGTTTGAACGATCCACATGGTGTCAGAAACCAACGCGCAGGTCATCACGACACCAACTTGCCGTACATCTGCGAGGAGGAAAGAGGCAGGAGGAGGATCCCCGTAGTGGTTTTGCCTCAGGGCACGTTCCAGCAGCTACCCCACGCCGAAAGCGCTCCAGGAGTGCCCAGCTAGGACCCCCGAAGCCAGACATGGAGGATCACCACGAGTGTCCGCGGTTCGGTGGGCTCGGTTGCGTCGCGGCCGGTTGCGCCCGGTCGGTCTGGTTCGGTCGGCCGTCGCGTCGTTGTGGCGTCGCTGCGCCCTTCTGGGCTGCCCGCGGCTTGTCGGGCTTGGCCGGTTTCGGTTCTGCTGTCGGGCCGGTCGGTTCGCTGCTGTGCCGTCGCCGCGGGCGGCCTTGGTACAGTCGTGGCGCCGAAGAAGGAACTCTTTTCGTTGGGGAGGGGCTAGGTGTTCTTGGTTGTTTCGAAGTTTGCCTCGGGTTTTTCTGAGGTTTTCCATGGGAAATCGAGGTTGAACTTCTGGGAAAAAGGGCCCTCGTTTCTTATTTAGGGTTCCTTAGGTCAACGCCTCGACGGTATGCACCGATCCTGGACCAGGATGGGCCTGGCCAGGATCGGTGCGCCGGCATGCAGTCGGCACCTCGCTCCACCGAGGTGCCCCCTGCTGCTGCGCGACTCGGTGCTCGCGCCCGCAGCCAGGGAGATCTCCTCTCGCAGGGTGCTGGCGCTGCTGGAGCCTTCAAGCAGTGGCGAAGCGTCCCGGCGTGCCTATAGTACTACCAGACAATGTTCTCAGAACCTTTTGAGGCTTGCACGACATGTCCTTGGAGCATTTCTGGCGGAGTCTGTCTTGTTTTCACGCACCGGGTCTGTGTTCTAAGAATATTGTTGTTTGTCCTTAGCACATTTTTGGGTTCTGAGAGCATGTCGTGGTAGGACTGTAGGAATGCCGGGACGGTCGGTCCCTGCTGAAGGAGCGCGTGATCCAGTTCACTTCGGAGGCGGACCCGGACGGCCCCGACACGGGGGCGCCGGGCCTCGGCACCACGCTCGAGACCTTCGACGAGCGCGGCCGCCACAGGGTGCGGCCAGACGCCGGGGCGGCCGGGGACCTCGAGGAGGACTACGTGGCGCCGCCCGTGGTGGGCGACGAGGAGGATCGAAACACCAATTTAAACGGCGAGAGAAGCTCGGGCTTTCGCAGCTCCGCGCGGGTTTCTCAGATCGGCGCTGGACCCCCGTGGCGGCGACTCGGGGCCATCCGAGGGTCAAAAGCAGCATGAGTAGAAAGCAAATAATGAGAGACAAAAACAGCCGACCCCCTCGTGTTTATGGATGTGGTGTTGGGTCCTCGTTTTGAAAAGAGAGCGCCCGCGCTCCTTCCTTCCATCCTCCTCGCCCTCCCCCTTCTCCCCCCGCCTTGCCTCTGCCCTCCGCTCCAGCCAATTATTTGCGCACACCCTTGGCACGTTCCGTGGCCCCATAGGGAGCTCCACCGAAGGCCCCAGTGGCTGCGCTCGCATGCGCCCGCCGCACCCATGTCGTTACACCCCTCACACGCTTCGTGGCCCCACAGGGGCCTCCACCGAAGGCTCCAGTGGCTGCGCTCGCATGCGCCCGCCGCACCCATGTCGGCACCCCCCTCGCACGTTCCGTGGCCCCATACAGATCTCCACCGAAGGCCCCAGTGGCTGCGCTGGCATGCGCCCGCCGCACCCATGTCGGCACACCCCTCGCACGTTTCGTGGCCCCATAGGGGGCTCCACCGAAGGCTCCAGTGGCTGCGCTCGCATGCGCCCGCCGCACCCATTTCGGCACCCCCCTCGCACGTTTCGTGGCCCCATAGGGAGCTCCACCGAAGGCCCCAGTGGCTGCTCTCGCATGCGCCTGCCGCACCCATGTCGGCACGCCCCTCACACGTTTCGTGGCCCCATAGGGAGCTCCAACGGAGGCCCCAGTGGCTGCTCTCGCATGCGCCCGCCGCACCCATGTCGGCACGCCCCTCATACGTTTTGTGGCCCCATAGGGAGCTCCAACGGAGGCCCCAGTGGCTGCGCTCGCATGCGCCCGCTGCACCCATGCCGGCACGCCTCTCATACGCTTCGTGGCCCCATAGGGAGCTCTACCGAAGGCCCCAGTGGCTGCGCTCGCATGCATCCGCCGCACCCATGTCGTTACACCCCTCGCACGTTTCGTGGCCCCATAGTGAGCTCCACCGAAGGCTCCAGTGGCTGCGCTCGCATGCGCCCGCCGCACCCATGTCGTTACACCCCTCACACGCTTCGTGGCCCCATAGGGAGCTCCACCGAGGACCCCAATGGCTGCGCTGGCATGCGCCCGCCGCACCCATGTCGGCACACCCCTCACACGTTTCGTGGCCCCATAGGGGGCTCCTCCGAAGGCTCCAGTGGCTGCGCTCGCATGCGCCCGCCGATTCCATGTCGTTACACCCCTCGCACGTTTCGTGGCCCCATAGAGATCTGCACCGAAGGCCCCAGTGGCTGCGCTCGCATGAGTCCGCTGCACTCATGTGGGCACACCCCTCGCACGTTTCGTGGCCCCATAGGGAGCTCCACCGAAGGAGTCAGTGGCTGCGCTGGCATGCGCCCGCCGCACCCATGTCGGCACACCTCTCACACGCTTCGTGGCCCGTAGGGAGCTCCACCGAAGGCTCCAGTGGCTGCGCTCGCATGCGCCCGCCGCACCCATGTCGTTACACCCCTCACGAAGGCCCCAGTGGATGCGCTCTCATGCGCCCGCCGCACCCATGTCGGCACACCCCTCACACGTTTCGTGGCCCCATAGGGGGCTCCACCGAAGGCTCCAGTGGCTGCGCTCGCATGCGCCCGCCGCACCCATGTTGTTACACCCCTCGCACGTTTCGTGGCCCCATAGAGATCTGCACCGAAGGCCCCAGTGGCTGCGCTCGCATGAGTCCGCAGCACTCATGTGGGCACACCCCTCGCACGTTTCGTGGCCGCATAGGGAGCTCCACCGAAGGCTCCCGTGGCTGCACTCGCATGCGCCCGCCGCACCCATTTCGGCACCCTCCTCGCACGTTCCGTGGCCCCATAGGGAGCTCCACCGATGACAGTATCCACAATTGCGTAACCTACAACTGCATGTTGGGTTTCTCGCCAGGCGAATGTCTTAGTCGAATGTGGTTGTCATTGTTCCTCCTCCTGGAGGAGGACGGCGACGGCGAGCACGGCGCCTCTCGTGCGCAGGTGGTCCAGGCGTTCTGCCAGGTCATCCAGCGCCTGTGCGCGCGGCTAGACGCGGTGGACTTCCGGCTCACCGCGTCCCTGGCGAGAGGTCCCGTCTGGGCATCCTTGGAGGTTCTGCGGGCCTTCCAGGCGAGGGCGTGCCAAAAAGGGCCTCGCCTTCGAGTCGGCGGCGAAGTCCGCACCCTACCCTCGCCGATCAACGATTCAGACAACTCGATGGGCGGCGGGGGTAGGGTTCGGAATTCGTCTAACCCGTGGCGGAATCCGAACCTTTCCCCCGCCTCCCATCGATTCATGAGAATCGATGGCTGGTGGGGGTAGATGCCCCTACTTTTGCCTCGTTTTCGCCTTTTTGGGTCTCCTGGGAGTTTCTCGTCGCCATCGCTGGATTCGCTTCGAAATTGTGGTCAGAACGAACCCCAGGAGAGGTCCAGGGAGGAGTGGTATCAGTACCTGGTGGTTTCCCCAGAAAGGGCGTTCCAGAAATCGGCATGATTGCGAAGGCCTTACAGCTGGTGCCGCCGACCCTGAAGGGGGACGACAACGACGACAACGGCGGCGGCGGCGACGACGACGCTGACGTGGGCCAGAGGGATGCTTCTTGGGGCCTCTTCGGAAGGCTCTCGGTGGCATCTGGGTGGGAGTTCTGGGGCCTCTTTGGGAGCCTCATGATTTCTCGGAGCTCCGCGTGGAGTTCTTGGACCGGCGGGGGCCCCCCTTTCGCGGCGCCTCCGGCGCCGCCCCTGGCGCGAGGAGCGCCTCCAGGGGGGAGGGTCCTGCGCAGATCCACGAAATCCAGGCGGTCAGTGGAAGTTGATGTCGATGCCGCTTATGATATTCTTGCACCCATAAACAGCACGAGGGGGTCGGCTGGATTTCTTCCTTCCTCTTTGCTCTACCAGTTCTCGGGGCTCCGCGCGGAGTTCTTGGATCGGCGCTGGGCCGCCAGGGGGGGGTGAGGGTCCAGCGCCAACATCCAGGAGGTCCGCGCGGCCCTCCGAGGAATGGTGCTTGTGCCGCTTGTGGCTCCCCCGGCAGAGGGCCTCGCCTTCGAAGGATCGAAGGCATCGGCGCCTCTTCTTTGGCGGAAGGCGCTGGGAGGGAGGGAGAGGAGGCGGAGGCCGGCAGAGGCTTAGATTTCAATCGGGCAAGTCTCTCTACAGGAGGAATCTTTTGGAACAGCGCAAAAATAGTATGGGACGATTTTTCGTTGTCTCTTTTGACTATATCGGAGTTTTTAAGTTTAAAGCTGATAAGAAGAGTAGCTTCATTGTTTAACAATGTTTTTTTAAACGTTATTCTCGTTTGTCAGTTTTTAAGGTTTTCCTCCAAAATCCGCCTGTAGGAGGACGCGCCCGACCTAACGCCGGAAGGGAGGCGGCTGGCGGATGCCCCCCCCCCCAGGGGATGCCGTGTTGTTGGCTCAGGGGGGTTGCCGCATCGGACCTCCGAGAAGTGGTGCGCATGCTGTGTTTCGCTCCTCCGAGAAAGGGCCTCGCCCTCGAAGGATCGACGGCACTTCGGCGGTGAGCGCGGAGCTCGCCGTCGAAGGATCGAAGGAACCTCGGCGGCTAGCGCGGATGGGGAAGCGAGAGGGAAAAGCCCTCTCGGAGGGCGGCGGGGCTTCTCGGAAGCCCTCCAGCCTTCTGGGAGGTTTTTTGCGTGCCTTCGGGGACGGCTTAGATAACTCCTCAGAAGGGGGGCGTCCGAGCCTTCTGAGAAGGCCCGCCCCTTCTCGCTTCCCCCCCGGCTCGCCGCCAACGGAAGGCGCTGGAAGGGAAGGGAGATTGAGATGGAGGCCGGGATCCTATTTTGTTGGTTCAGGGTTGCCGCACCGGGCCAGGTGAAGGTGGAGAATCTTGGCAGGATGAACTACGCGCTCCAGTCGGTCTCCTCCACGGTGAAGTCTTTCTTCTACGACGAAGCCAACACGTCGTCGCAGCAGCAGAAGCAGGACTGGAAGGAGCACCACTTCGCGCTCCACGTCTTCCGGAAACAGATTATCGAGTCGACGCTGTTCTCCAAGGACCCCACCGTCCGCAAGGCCGCGGAGGCGGCGATGATGGAGGAGCAAGAGCCCATCATCACGTTCAGCGACGACGAGAAGGAGGGGGGGAAGACGCCGCAGCACTTCGTGGACAATGCCGAGGAAGACCTGCCCGAGGCCATCATCGACGGGGTGTCCGACGGCGTCCTCGCAGGGCTCGCGGGATTCGTGCTGTACTGCGACCCCCTGCAGACGCCGCCGGCGCTCGCCGCGGGGATGGTCAGGTCCCTGCTCCTGGTGAAGCAGGTCGACCGAGCGCGCAACCTCTTCACGGACGTGTTCGTCAGGTCGCGCCTCCCTCCTCCCACAGGCGTGTCTGTCAGGCCGCGCCTTCCCCCTCCCTCGCGCCTCCCTCGCGCCTCCCTCCCGCCTCGTTCCGAGCGCGGCCTGCGCCGCCCTCGCGCCTCCCTCCTCTCCGTCCTTCCCCTCCGTGCCGAGCTCGCCCGCCGTGTCGTCCCCGCGCCCTGCTTGGCCGCGGCGGGCCCGCTCCGAAGCCGCCGACCAAAACAGCTTCTCTCAGGAGGGAACAAAACACACAGACACAATTAATCGTCGATTCCCAGGAAAATATGGGAAAAGATGGGAAGTGGGGGGAAGACAAAAAACCAGAAAATATGGGAAATATGGGGAATCCGGTTGTTTGTGTCTATTTATGTGTGTGTCCTTGGGCCCCTTCATTCTCAGGTCGCGGAAGACCCAGGCGATGGTCACCACGGGCGACATCCCCGTGGACTTCCTGAGCAGCGTCAAGAGGCATCGCGTCGCCTCCTTCGTGCTCCGCCGGCTGCTGGCCCGGTACGAGTCGCTGAACTGCGTGGACCTGTGCCACTTGCTGCACCACGTGCTCCTCGAGGAGTTCAGGGACGAGAAGCACTGCATGGACCTGGTGCTGAAGAACGAGCTCACCCAGCTGCGCTGCCGCGCGATGCCGCCACCGCGCCCAGATGGGCCGGGGGGGGCGCCTTGGGGGTGGGAGCGGGGAGGGACTACGGACCCCCCCCCCCCTCTAGGCCTCGTAGTTTCAAGTCGTGCATGTCCCTCTGCAGGAGGAATCTTCCCAGATAGTAAAAAGAAAGTCTGGGGACGATGGTCTGATCAGTTTGGACTCCTTTAGATAGTTTTTGACTATCTGTAACTTTTTTCGTCCAAAGCCCGCCTGTCAGGGGGACATGCCCGACCAAGCTCTAGACCTCGCAGTTGGAACCGTTTCTGCCTGGGAGGCCCAACCGCTGCAGGTGCGGTGGCGGATCCAGGACATCGTCGTGTTCTGCAGGGTCAGCACCCGCGCGGCGGCTGCGTCCAGGGAGGCGGAGGGAGAGGGCGACGGCAGCGCCGTCGTGTCTGGGACCTCCGGCGTCGTGGAGTGGCTGTCGGGGGCAACGCCGGGGGCGGGGGCCCAAGGGGGAAGGTATCGACCCCGAATCGCGCACTCACCACAAGAAGGAGCAGACTTGTCGGGTCGGGCGAAAGGGGGGGATTGGGAAAGGGGGGGTTACGAAATTTGCTGCATGCAGCTGGTTTCGGCCTCACCGAGGGGCCCATTCCTCGATACATAGCCGCCTCGGCGCCGGGAGGCGCCGGGAAAATCAGCTACGTGAGCTGATTCTCAACCCCCCCCTTTGCTATCCCCCCCTTTCGCCCGACCCGAACCATGTTTCTGTCAGATCAGTGGGGTAAGCCTCTCAAAGTTTTGGTGAGGTGCACCAAGTAGTTCTTGGCGTTGCATCTCTCTGTGTCTGTGGCTGAACGCGCGCCAGCCAGGGAAAATGATCCACGAAGGATATGGGGAAGCATCGACCCCGAATCGCGCATTCACCGCCAGTCGGGGCTTGGGCCCCAGACCCCCAGAGTTCTGGATCCCTTCCCGCGGACAGCTTTTTTATCCCGAGTCGGTTTTTGATGGTCCTGGGGCCTGGTGAGGGTCCCCAGAGGCGGAGAATTGCCTAAACCCGTCCGTCGAGGATGTCAGGGCCTGCGGGCACCCCTCAGTCGAAGGATCAAACACTGCATAAGCATAAACTTTCGGAGCTCTGCGCGGATTTCTTAGATCGGCGCTGCACCCGCCTCCCTGGCGCGCGGAGCGCGTCAGGGGCGGCGCCGGAGGAACCGCCAGGTGGGCCTGTCGCCGATCTAAGAAGTCAGCGCGGAGCGCCGAAAGTTTTTCTGCTTACGCAGTTTCCTGCCGGAGACGGGAATTCATACATGACCACCGTCTGGAGGATCAATTTTCGGGGACCTCGGCAGGCGGTGGATATGGACATATTCAGGCCCCCGGGGCAAACATATATCCATATCCGCCGCCCGCTGGGGCACCAGGACGTCGGTTCCCAGGCGGTGGATATGGATAAATCCCCGCCTCGCATCCTGTGCCTCCACTCAGGTTGAGGCTCAGGCGGGTGGGAGAGCAGCTGTTCGCGGCCACCTTCGTGATCCACAACGGCCTCCTGCCCCTCACCGAGGACCAGGAGCCGCGCGAGGGCTCTGGCTGGCGGGCTGCGGAGTGCCCGTGGGACTCGGGGGACCTGGACCTGGACCTGCTGCGCCACGTGCCCGAGACCGAGGAACCGTCGGGTGTTATGATGTTCCAACTTATTTTAGCCTTCATCACCAGGAAGAATTTCGAGCACCAGAAAAGTACCGAAACTCGAGGGTTTTCGCGTGTCGGGTCCTGGGAGACACGCGTCCGACACTGTTTCAACACTGCTTCGATACTCTTTCGACACTTTTCCTGGCGCTCGAAATGGCTTTTGGGATGTGGTCCTTTAGTACGATGGGAGCAACATAAGTCAGGTGGTGAATTCAGGCGATCGCAAACATGGATCAAGGGGGCGTGGATTAGCGACGGGTCCCGTTTCCGTGGGGAATCGCGGGTTCCCGCCGCCGAGCGAGGCGGCACCGGCCGCACTCTGGGGAGGGCGCCTCCCCCGATGCATGAGTTCGGCGACCGCGCGCCAAATCTATGGATCGCTAATCCATGCTTGCGCGCCCCCGAGTCAGGTGGCAAATCACGGAAGCTTCCGCTCGTTTTCGCTGGAGCGTATAGTATCGGCGAACAGCGCCCCATGGCGCTCCACAGCGCCAGATCTGGCGTCAAGTCGGGCGTGCCCCTCCACAGGGGGAATGTTCAAGAATAGTGAAAACATGGTTTGGCGACGATTTGTCTGGTATTTGTTTGACCATGTTGGGGTATGTTTCGGATGCTTAAAATGTTTCGTCCCAAATCCGCCTGTAGAGGGACACGCCCGACCTAAGCCCAATGGCGCTCCACAGCGCCGAATCTGGCGCCCGACAGCGCCAGGCAGCGCCGAATGACGTGCAACTAGTACCCAGTGGTGCCCAATGCAGTCAAGTCGGGCCTGTCCCTCTACAGGAGGAATATTCAAGAATAGTCCAAATAATGACACCGGAGAAAAATCCCAATCAGGGCTAGAGGGCTATAGGGCTATTGAGCTATAGGACTATAGAGCTATAGGGCTATAGAGTTGTAGGGCTATAGGGCTATTGGGCTATTGGGCTATACGGCTATAGGGCTATAGGGCTTATGGCTGTAGGGCTATAGGGCACCCCCGGGCACCCCTGGGCACGCCCAGGCACCAGGGCACCCGGACACCCGGGCCCCCGGGCCCCCCCGGGCCCCCCTTGGGCACCCGGGCCCCGGGCACCCCGGGCACCCGGGCACCCCGGCGTGCAGCGAAAATCGGTGACAAACCTAACCCAACCATATGAATCCGCTAGGACCCCTACAGAGGCAAGCTCTGATTGGGGAATATGGGGACGAGTTTTGTGACCATGTTGGACCATGTTTGATATGTTTTTGTATAATTTTTTCGTCCAAAATCCCCCTGTAGGGGGACATGCCCGACCTAACAATACAGTGGAGGCCCATGCCAAGAAACATCCTGCTTGCCTCCAGGGTGCCCTGGGTTTCTTGGGTTTCGATGGCTTTTCGCTGTGGGGAGCGCGACGTTCCCACACCAAGCATCAATGGGCGTCCTGGGGTCTCAGGGTCGGGCTTCTTGCGAAAGGTTTATTGTGGACCGGCCTCCACTGTAGCGCCCAACAGCCCCCAATAGCGCCATGTGAGGGAGATGCATTCTGTCCGCTCCGCGCTCGCTTGGTCGAGCTATTTGAGCGCCATTGGGACGACCAAGCGCTGCCGTGAGCTGCGCTCCGAGGGGACGAAAACCCAAAACACAGACATGCATCGATCGGCGGCGCGCATCTCGGGGGGAAGGCAGAGGGGGCGGGCCTGATCTCAGAGGAGGACAATGTACCCATCGGTCGTTGAAAGTAGGTATTTTTGGATTCCCAGAACCCAATCTACTTCAAGCGCCGTTCTGCTTCAAGAATCGATATGCTTTTGCTGCGTGTTGTCACTCTCTGGGCGGGCCCGAACCCAATCTACTTTATCCGCCTTCCTACTTCATGTTTCTACCTACTTCTTCCGACAGGTATGTATCGATACCCTCACCCCTCCCTCGTTCTCGCCCTTTTGGACCTCGGGGGAGGCCCTGTATGACGCGGCTGGAGTCGCCGCGAAATCGTGGTCAGAACACACCCAGGGAGAGGTCCTGGGAGTAGCGGTATCGGCACCTTTTTCAGAAGGGTCAGAAGGCGGCCTTGTGGAAATCTCTCAAAGCCTTCTCCGAGGCCGCAGAGGGCTTCTCAGAAGGCCGGAGGGCTTGTGAGAAGCCCCAGCGCCTTCGAAGGTGACATGCCCACTCTCGCTTCCCCTGCGGCGCGCCGGCGAATCGAGGGAATAAGCACGATGACCATGACCAAGATGTCGAGGGATCGTGCCGACGCTGATCTTGGTCATGGTGCATGCCGGCCGCCGCC